AAAAAAAAGGGTAATGCAGCAGGGATGTAGTGGGGTGTGGTTGAGTGGAAAGTTACCTGAGATGGCTGCCAGTTTGGCTTCATGTAGTGCCAAAAGCTGTGTTTCAGTCTCACTGACTTTCCTCCTTAGGCTGCTGCCCAGTCTCTGACTCATGACCACCTGAGGAAAAGAAAGAGAAGAACATGCAGAGGAGAGAGCAGGGGGGGAGGGCGGTAACTAACAAAACCTTCGCAGACACATGGATCCCACAGGAGGCAAAGCTCATTTCCAATTCCACTTTCATTTTCTTTTTGACACTCATTCTTACAAGACCTTACAAATTCATTTCCGTCCTTCTGTGTTCGCTCTGCTTTGAATACACAGCAGAGCATCAACGCCGATGTGTTACCTTTGTCTATAACCTTTAGAAAGAAAGAGAGTGCTTCTCCTTTCACATGGACAGACTGGAAAATGTGAAATCCTCATAAAAGATATCATTAGAAAGTCAGAGAGGAAAAGGCCCCTGAATGTCACAGCCTGATGGGGATGCGGCACCTCAGCCCTGAGTATTCACAAAGGAGCTGATGGTCTCCATCAGCCCGTCTGGCCCTCATCTGCCCTCACCCTGTCCTTTAAACCTCTGTTATTTCCATTGTATACACTTTGAACCACAGCTACAATCCCCACAATCCACTTCCTTCTTTTTAGGAACTGTTTTTCTTTATTTTCACTGCTCAAAGAGATTTGGATCCAGATTTTCTGACGCATGTTTTCCTTAAATCTGACACAGTTATGTGCAACACTTTGAAAAGGCAGTCAAATAGACTGTTATTTCCGAGGCAGAACATCCCCGGAGAGTTTTCTCCGCACAGAAATGTAGAAAGCGGATTTTTCTTTCCCCAAACAGGCTTGTATAATTTTATTTCATGCATTACATGAAGTGAAAATATTTTTTGAGTGCTTTTTCAAACTGTAGAAATTCTGACATCGCTGATTTAATTTCAAAACATCAGGCTATTTGTCAATTTCAAAAAAGTCAGCGGAGAAAGCGAAAGTTACTTTCATGTCAGCAATCATTTTGTCACAGCAGGTGAGCAATTTTCCACTTGGTGAATATATCATCTTGGAACCAAACTTCTCATTTTAGCTTAACAATGGGCACTTTGTGATGATGGTAAATGTATATCTGGGTAGAAACCCACGACATTTCTTTCAGGTGCAGCGGCAACATCAATCAGTGATTTGATGATGGCTTTCTGAAAGACTCAGTGACAGTAGCTTTACAGAGCTAACTCTGTAAGCTAACTTCTCTCTCCTTATTCCATGCATCTAGTTTCTGGATAAAAATATCTGAAAAAAAGAAAATAACTAGTAAGCAGCATATGTCTGAATGAATATGCCAAAGTACAGAGGATGACAACAATAGCTTAGATAACCACTCATCACAAAGAAAGGTATACAGAAGAGCCTCTCTGAACACAACACATTCACCTTGAAGCATATGGGCAAAAACAGCAGAAGACCACACTGGGTGAACGAAATGGTCAGCTAAGAACAGGAAAGCGATGTTGTGAAGTGTAATAATATGGAGGATATTTCCTTAGCACAGATTGGTCCCCTTATTACCAACTGAGCATGTACTGTTGCTGACTACGCTCACCTTTTTATAACCAGTGTGTCCATCTTCTAATGGTTGCTTCCAGCAGAATAACATATGTGACAAAGATCACATCATCTTAAACTGGTTTCGTGGACATGGCAGTGAGTTCTCTGTACTCAATGCCCTCCACAGTCACCAGAGCTCAATCCAGTAGGGCACTTCTGGGTTGTGGCGGAACATGAGAATCACATCGTGGATGTGCAGCCGACAAATCTGCAGCAACTGTGTGATGCCGTCATGTCGATATGGACCAAAATCTCAGAGAAATGTTTCCAGCAGCTTGTTGAATCTGTGCTACAAAGAATAAAGGCTAATGGATGTCCAACATCATCCAGTACTAGCAAGGTATAGATGAGCTCATGGTTTGGATCTCACCCTAAAAGTGTCAATCTGACAACACGCACTGCCAAGCAGCCCCAAATGATGAATTGCTTTTTGGGGAAGAGGAGAGACGTTGCAGGTAAACAGATGTGGGGATTAGAGTTTTTAGAACCCAGTGTGGTACACTGAAACACACTAAAGCTGACGTTGTTTGCTCTACATGTACTCTTGCAGATGCCTCAGGATTTTACAGTTGAACAACATGAACTCCATGTTGAAAGTCATACCCGAGACTATTTGACTCAGTTCTCATCACCAGTGACCATCTTTGACATGAAAAATTCAGGTCAGTTTGAGACAGACACTGACCGCTCTCACGGCACATTTAGCATCTGTACTGATGCATATGTGCAAGAGAGATCTAAATGCAGTAGCAGCACAGAAGTGGTGCAAAATCTCAACATTAACAGGAACCGCTGCTACATCCAAATCAAGTTTTTGCTTCTTATGGTCTTCTGATTACACCGTGTGCAGCTTTGTGCCTCCTTTGTGCAGGAAGCACAAAGGAGAAGCAAACCCTTGATAAGCATGAGTGAATTCTAGTTACACAGCAGCATGCAAACCCAGGTATACACACAAACAATGGACACGGGCTTCAAATCACTACGTTAGCCATGTTTTACTCATTTAGTTGATTTTAAAAGTGGGCATTTAAGCAGCTTTTTCATCATCAGGTGTTGTAATAATTTTACGGATGATTTAGAATTTAGGGAGGATTTATTCAAAATGACAACTCCTGTGACTCTTGCAAAAAAACTGGAGAGTTTACTGCCTTGTCAAAGAGAAACAAGCTCATGAATACAGACACTGACATTTAGTACATATATTAAAAACACCAAAGCTCGCACAAGACACATAATGTGTATTTTGACTTACTGCTTATTAGATATTCACACACATTCAGTCATCGTCGACATGCTGAGAAGAGAATGAGATGATATAGAATAAATCAAGTCAGCGGAACAGTGGCTTACCTTAGCAGTGGCTTCCTTAATGGACAGATTTAATGCCTGCTCCTGCTCCTGGAGTCTGCAAAATAAAAACATAAATGTCACAGTGCAGGACTAAAGGTAATTTTTTCCATTTTGGGGATGAAATCGGGAGTTATCAATATGATATCTCCTGTTCCAATCTAGATTTTTGTATTTTTTTTTTTTAGCTTCTACTCATCTGGCAGCTAATCGCTTAACGGTTTGCAAACTAACAACTATCAAACTGAACCTTGGATAACTTTTTAAAGGACAGTCTTGAGAGTGTTTGTCCAGTGGATGGGAGCAAATATTCAACAACCAGTTCAGCCATGCACAAAAGTGAGACATTTCTTTATATTTTGCAGCTAATTATCTAGATTGCAGTCTTTTAACGTGCTCTTGAGGAATCGTTCTCCTGGCTGTCTAAACGTCTTTCAAGGTCTTTCTTTAGACATTGGCCATATTTTTTATCATTTCTAGTCCAGTCCTTTTACCTGACCACTCTCAGAGAAACAGCTTTCTATTTGTTAAGCCACTTAAAACTGACTTATGAATAATTCACGGCCAAAAAAATAAATCTAATTTAAGGTCTGAACCAGTGTTGTACTCTACACATATGATAACATAGCAGCCTGTCATAAAAACGCATCATTTGTTCACATTTGTTTAGTTGAATAGTTGCACCAACAAGGTGACTTACAAAGAACTTTTAGCCAAAAACTTAGTGTGCAGACATAGTGTGCAGTGTCCTTAAAAACCTTGACAAGTTAAAGAGAAAGCAAGATGTGGCAAACATATAACTGTTGATCTAGATAGTTAAAGAAGAAAGTTTCATTGGCAAAAGGTCTTCATCAGCATATACGAAGGAGGTGAGGAGAGAAGTA